GGCTGGTCTTGAACATGTGATCCTCCTGTGCCTTTGGTGTCTCTGGGATTGGAGGTGTGCACCACCATACCTGGCCACTTTCTATCTTTATAGTGTTCCCTATTCTGGACTTTCCTATGAGGGATATTGTACAGTATGTGGCCTTTTGTGACTGGCTTCCCTCAGCATAATGTTTTAACTCTGTCTCAAACTAAAATTATTATAAAAGGGCTGGGAGGGCCATGTGTAGTGGCACACGCTTTTAAATCCAGTGACAAGAGGCTGAGACAAGAGGATCTCAAGTTCAAGGCCAGTCTCAGCAATTTAGTGAGGCCCTAAGCAACTTAGTGAGACCCTGTGTCAAAATAAGAAATAAAAGGGCAGGAGGGGCTGGGGTTGTGGCTCAGTGGTAGAATGCTTGTCTCGCATGTGTGAGCACTAGGTTTGATCCTCAGCACTGCATAAAAATAAATAAATAAAATAAAGGTATTGTGTCCACCTACAACTAAAAGATTATTTTAAAAAAAGGGAGGGCGTGGGGGCTGGAGGTGTGCCTCATTGTAAAAGCATTCCTGGGTTCAATCACCAATACCAAAAAATAAAACAAAAAATGAAAGAAAAGGGCTGGGGATGTAGTAGTAGAGCACCCTTGAGTTTAATCCCCAGTACTAAAAAAAAAAAAGGGGGGGGGGGGAGTTTAACACATGTAACTTGGAGTTTTACATATTTATAACAGTGCTTGGCACTTCAGTACTTATTGACTTTTCCCTTCATTCTATAAAATAGAGGAAATTCATATATATGTATATATATTATATATACACATATATAATATGTATGATAAAAATATTCACAGTGAATAAAAGTCTTAACATTTTAAACCATTGCATACATAGAAAATAACCATTATATAGAACAATGGGTGAATGGGGGTGATGTTCATCACTTGGATTAAATAGACTGACAGCTCTCATCATCCAGGTCCTATCCACCTGTCCCAAGTAGAACAACAGCCTGGCATTTTGCAACTCATTCACAGGGAGTAATATTCTGACATGTGTTTTTTTCACACATGTGTACATGTATGCACACATACAGAAATACACCCATACATATAAACACAATTTATATATTTAAAACAAACATATCTTGATTTCTGTTCCCATGAAAATTGTATGATGAAATAAACATGCCATGCTGTGGTAACAAAATAAATCCCAAAGTTTCAGTGACTGTCATAGACTGAATTATATCTCCATCTCTTAAATTCCCATGTGTAATTCCCAAACTCCAGTACCTCAGAATGCACCTGAATTAGAAGATAACCTTTTTGAAAGGATACATAATTTAAAATGAGGTCAGTAGGGTGGCCCCTCATCCAATATGACTGGTGTTTCTAAAAAGAGAAGGGGACGACAGGATTGTAGATGCAGAGAAAAGGCAATGTGAGAGCAAGCAAGGTGGGTACCTGGTGCACGCCTGTCATCTCAGCTAGGTGGGAGGTTGAGGCAGGAAGATTGCACATTCAAATCAGCCTGGGCAACGTAGCAAAACCCTATCTCAAATAAAAAGGGACAGGAACATAGCTCACTATCCCCTTGATTCAATCCCCAGTACAGGATGGGGTGATGGGGGCTGGGGGGTGAATTAAACCCAGCAAAGAAGGTTGTGAAAGTCAGAGAGAAGCCTGAAGAGAAACCAGATCTGCCAGACACCTTGATCTTGGACTTCTCTTCTACTTCTTTTTTTTTTTTTTCCCTGTGGTACTGGGGATTGAACCCAGAGCCTTGTTCATGTGAGGCAGGCACTCTACCAGCTGAGCTATGTCCCTAGCCCCTGGACTTCTCTTCTAGTAAGAAGATATATTTCATTGTTTAAGCCACCCAGTTTGTGTTATTTTGTTTGACAGCCCTAGTAAAACAATATACTGACTTAACACAGCCAAACTTTATTTCTTCCTCGGTCTATGGAGGGTTGGTGACACTCTCCTCCATTTAGTTATTCAGGACTCTAGGCTTATCTCTTGTGACTCCACCATCTCCGTAAGTGCTTCTGAGACCCAGTCTGAGACCAGATGGGACACTTGCTATGCCCACAGCATCCTGGGAATGCAGACTAGAAAGGACTGGTCAAGGCTCTAGCCTCTAACAGAGGTGGGAGTCTAGGGAAGCAGATGGGATATCTGGTAAACACTACTGTCTCTGTCAAAAAAATGAAGTTATTTTTGGATCTGGTTAAAACAAGAGAATGTAGTTCCCCAATTATTCAGATTGTCTCTAAAAAAAGGATAGTAACAGACCTATTTATCCCTTGGTGGAAAGTAGTGTTTTATTAGTATTTAAGAACAAATGAGGGGCTGGGGATATAGCTCAGTGGGTAGAGTGTTTGCCTTGCATGCACTAGACCCTGGGTTCAATCCCCAGCACCACAAAAAAAAAAAAAGAACAAATGAGAATTTTTTTCCATTGTCAAAAAAATATATTGATTTCTTTAGTCCTCTTGAGATTTCTTTGATGGTTTTACTTTCATCATTGAGCATGTGTGAGCTTAAACTCTATTAACATAATTTCCAATGAAAATAAACCTTTGACCACCTAGGGGGAATATTAGGGGAAAAAACTTGGGAAACGCACTGCCTGAATTTATGTTTTTTTCCAGAATACTTTCTGTATCTAATTCCAGCTCTTTAGATTATCGTTCCCTCCCTCAATAACTGTTTTGCATCTCAAACACACACACATACACACACACACACACACACAACCCAGCTTATCACCTTACTTATCTGAAAACCAGGGGAATTTGGCTCCAACTAAAACTGTTTTTTGATTTAAAACAAATTAATAAACATTTATTTGGAATACTATGCCATTTATTTTCAACCACTAGTTAAATTGTTATCAGTAATAATGTTCCAGATTTTCCAAAACAGTTCTGCTTTTATATTTTCATTTTGGGAGGGGGGTACTGGGGACTGAATCCAGGGGGACTTAACCACTGAGATACATCCCCAGCCCTTTGTATTTTTTACTTTGAGACAGGATTTTCCTAAGTTGCTTAGAGCCTCACTAAATTGCTGAGGCCAGCCTCAAACCTGTGATGCTCCTTTCTCATTCTCCCAAATTGCTGGGATTACAAACATGTGCCACCGTGCCAGCTCTGCTTTTAAATGCTATATTTTTAAAAATTGTTAGATGAATAGTCACTTTTTCTTTTTTTTTTTTTGTACTGGGGATTGAACTCAGGGGCATTTGACCACTGAGCCCCATCCCCAGCCCTATTTTGTATTTTATTTAGAGACAGGGTCTCATTGAGTTTCTTAGTGCCTCACTTTTGCTGAGGCTGGCTTTGAAGTCTTGATCCTCCTGCCTCAGCCTCCCGAGCGGCTGGGATTACAGGCATGCGCCACTGTGCCCAGCTGACTCTCTACTTTTGAGATCCTTTTGTCTTGGATAATTTGAGTCTACGCCATCTATTAATGAAATATTGAAAACAGCAGGCATGGTGGTGAACACCTGTAATCAGGAAGCTGAGGATCGTGAGCCAGCCTCAGCAACAGCGAGATGCTGAGCAAATCAATGAGACCCTGGCTCTAAATAGAATACAAAATGGGGCTTGGAATGTATCTCAGTGGTTGAATGTCCCAGTATCCCCCTACAAAAAAAAAAAAAAATGAAAACAACATACATTTCTAGTAGTAAAGGTATAGCTAAGCAAGCTATCAAATACTGACATTATGTGGTTAATGAAACTACCAAGTTCAAGGCCGGCCTCAGTAATTGAGACCCTGTCTTAAAATAAAAAGGGTGCTAAAATGCTTGTCTAGGATGTGTGAAGCCCTGGGTCCTGAAAAAAGGAAAATGCCAGAAAGTAGATATTATCAACACACAGAAACGGATATAATCATAGTATTAGATAGTATTTATTGATCACTTTACTATGTATGTGGTGCTAAGTGATCTTTATATTTATTACCTTACTTAGTTCAAAACATAATCTTATACAATAAGCAAAATTAATTATCCTGCTCGGTTTACAGATGAAGACCCTGGGGTTCAGAGAAGCAATTTGTCTAAATTTAAACAGCCAGAAAGTATGACTGAACCAGGACAGGGTGACTCATTAGGCACACTCTCAACTGCTTTGTTGTTATCTCCTACAGACATAGGAAATAATGGAAGTTTAAAGAACTAGATAATAAAAAGCACCAGATTTGTACAATGATTAGTACCAACTAAGTTTAAATATCTACTCAAAAGATTGAAAAAATATATTTTTCCCATTAACAATTGGGAAGAAATGGGCTAGGGATGTGGCTCAGTGTAGCGTATGTGAGGTCCTGGGTTTAATCCCAATACTGGTGGGAGGGCAGGGGTGAGAAGAAACAAAAATTAAGAAAATTGAAAAAAAAACCTACCTGTTACTCTATCCTGAACCCACAAGTTAATGCCTTGATATGTTTCTTTCCTAAATATCTTCTATGCAGTTTTGCATACACAGGTTTTATCTCCTGCCTTGTTTTCATTTCTTTTGACATAAATCTCTCTTCTTTCAAAACTCAAAGACAGATGAAAGTTTTGTAAGTTAGTATTAGTTTGTATTAGTAAAGATTAACTTCAGCTGTGAAGGATTCAAGGCCCAGAGCAACTGTAAAGTTTGTTTGTCTATCAAATAAACATAAGCCACTCAGGGCTTTTATGAGGGTATCATGGAACCATAAGGGACAAAGCCCCTTGAATTTTGCTGCTTCAGCATCCTCAGCGTCTAGCTTCTATGGCCCCAAATGACTTCTCACTCCAGCGATGGATTCCACAACCTACCAGCAGGAGGGAGAAAGCAGGAGAAGGACACCATTTCCTTTGCAGATACATCCTGGAATGTTGTCACATCATCTCCATATCCCATTAGCCAGAGCTAAGGTGTATGGAGATCTGGATCTGTTAAAGAGGCTGAAAATATAAACTTTTAAAAAATATTTATTTTTCTAGTTTTAGGTGGACACATATATTTATGTGGTGCTGAGGATGGAATCCAGTGCTTCATGCATACTAGGCGAGGACTCTTCCACTGAGCCACAACCCCAGCCCCTGGAAATGTAAACTTAATTACAGGTGGTCACATACTTGATTTTTGAATTCAGGTTCTACTATAGAATAAGGAGGAAATGGGTTCTGGAAGACAAATATCAATCTTCATGTAACTTGTTGTAGGTTTTTTGTTGTTGTTGTTTAGTTTTCTTGGTTATTTTGTTTTTGTCTTGGTCTTGCTTTGGGATCCAGGCTGGTATGCAACTACTGAGCTCAAGTGATCCTCCTGCCTCAGTCTCCCAAGTGGTGGGATTACAGAGATGCACCATTGTGTCTGGCTGTAACATTTTAAAAAATAAAAATTAATAAAGCTGGTTCATTAGTTTGTTTACCATGCTCAGCACCATAAAAGCTCTTTTAAAATACTATCTCTAGAATTAAAACTTATATCCCCCCAAATACATACACACACACACACACACACACAAACACACACACACATATATATACATTCTACTTCCATTCCCAATATCTAACGAAATGCATGGCATACAACAGAAACTCAGAGCAGTGTTACATTTTTTTTTTCCAGCACTGGGGATTGAATCCAGGGCCTTGCATATGCCAGGCAAATGTTCTACCCACTAAGCCGTATCCCCAGCCCTTATTTTTTAAGTTTGATTTTTCAGACAGAGACTCACTAAATTGCCCAGGCTGGCCTCCAATTTATAACCCCCCTGCCTCAGCCTTCTGAGTATCTGGGATTACAGGCATGTGTCACCACACCCAGTTTACAATCCTTTATACTATAAAGGAGAAAGAACAGGATTGTTTTTACAGTACCTGCTATACCTTACACACTTTATTTTATTATCCACCATTCCCCACCCCTCTTTTTTTAGTAGTACTGAGGATTGAACCCAGTGCCTCACACATGCCAGGCAGGTGATCTACCACTGAGCCATATCCAAAACCCTCATTTTCCCTCTGTGAATTCATATTATTATTCTCTTCATAGAAAGTCTTCTACTCCCATCATGAGGAAGTAGACTCAGAAGTTTTTAAAACTTGCTCAGAGTCACAGGGCTGGCATTTGGAAGAGCCAATATTTGAACCCAGGACTATTGATTCATCTGTCTTTCCTGTGACATAGTTCACCAGAGATCAGGACATCATTAGGAAGAAGTGAGAAGTTCAGAGAAACATATTTTCATCTACAAAAGTGAAATCCATCAGTGATAGTTATTGGAATTTTCAGGTTGAGGAGAGTTACTAGAGATTGCACCCAGAGGGGCTTAACCACTGGCCCTCATCTCCAGTCTTTTGTTAAATTTTTTTATTTTAACACACTGTTTCACTAAATTGCTTAGGGCCTTGCTAAATTACTGTGGCTGGTCTTGAACTTGAGATCCTCCTGCCTTAGCCTCCCAAGTCATTGGGATTACAGGCATGCACTACCAAGCTCACCTAGCTATTTGGAATTTTTGATCCTATCAGTTGCCACCAATAACTATACCAGAGAAAAGCAAAGTTCCCTGAGTTTAAGATCTCTTTTAAATGTTTTTCTCTTGTATCAAATTGTTTCCTGACAAAGATCTGAAAATTATGCTGTTGTTTATCTATACATTCACAAATACTTAGGGGACTACTACATTCCTAGCTCTCTACCAGGATCTGGGGACAAAGATGAAAGAAACAGCCCCCATTTGTAAGCTGTTCACCTGGTGCTGAAACAGACAGGTAAATAGCAACAACAATAACAAACAGCAAGACTAAGCAAGGAGGGCAAAGCAAGGGCTGATTCCTAGGTCAGCCTAGGGAGTCAGAAAAGGCTTGCCATAGGTGAGCCTTAAGGAGGATTTAGACTATGCTAGAAGCATAGCCCAAATTCAGCCAGAAAAGAAGTGTTTGTGTGCAGGGCACACAGCACACACAAAAAGGTGTAGGTGATAAGCCCAGCGGCTTGGGAGGCTGAGACAGGAGGATCACCAGTTCAAAGCCAGCCTCAGCATAAGTGAGGCGCCTGGCAACTCAATGAGACCCTGTCTCTAAATAAAATACAAAATAGGGCTGGGGATGTGGCTCAGTGGTTGAGTGGCCCTGAGTTTAATACCCAGTACCCCCTCCCCGCCAAAAAAAAAAAAAAGTGTGGGTGAGAAGTGGTGTCTTTTCCTCACCCATCACGAAGTTCAAGGTCTATTTGATTTGTTTTTCTGGGTATTTCCATATCAGCGGCTGAGGGCCTTCTTTTTCTATGGGTTTTGGAGGGGACCCCTCTGGAATGAGGCCCTATAACCCATTTTTAGGGGAGATCAACTAGATTTAATGACTTGCTTCAGGGCAGAAGGGGTGAACCCAGGGCCTGATGCATGCCAAGCACATGTTCAACCACTTCACTGCACCCCCACCTCTTCTTTCTAGTTTCTGTGTTCTACTTCTGCCGTTTTCTCAAATGCCAAGGGGTCGTATTTTGGAGTAACATGTCCTGAATGCCTTCAAAAGCATGACGAAGAAAGAAGGTGGTTCGCTCCCCTCTTAGTTGGGAAGGGCTACTGAGAGCGATCAGACTACCGTGTTGTCTAAGAATCACCCCAGACCTCATCAGTGACACAGATTTCTAGCTCCTACCCCTGTCTTTTCTGATCCTCTAGATGTCAACAGTGCCTGAGAATCTGTAATTTTCATCATGATTTTCTTGGGGATGGTCCAAGGACTTCACACTTGGAAAAACACTGAAGAAGTACAAAAAGTTAGTGAAGGTAGAAGATAAGTTGGCAAAGTAGTGATGGGCACACTCAGCCCAGCTCAGGAGTTTAAAGTACTGCATACCCTGATCACAATGATAGGAAGGATTTTTTTCCCAAGAGTTCTTTTTTTTTTTTTTTGGCTACTGGGCATTGAACCCTGGGGCATAACCACTGAGCCACATCCCCAGCCCTTTTTCATATTTTATTTTGAGACAGGGTCTCACTGAGTTACTTAGGGCCTCACTAAGTTGCTGAGGCTAGCTTTGAACTTGCAATCCTGCTGCCTCAGCTTCCCATACCACTGGGATTCCAGGCGTGTGCCACCGCACCTAGCTTTTCCAAAGACTTCACATGTTTATTACTATATCATCCTACCAGTGTAGAACATAGAGACAGAGAAAAATCACATTAAAAAATATCTAACCATCTAGATGGTGGTGACATTTTCAGCAAGATATGATAATACAGCATAAATACTTGTGCCGTTTCATGAGCAATTCTTTATAGACCAGTTTAGCTTTTTCTCCAATGTCTCCTCTTAGAGTCATACTTGATTTCATCCAGATCCCTTGATTAATTTTTGCTTTTGTTTCTTGGCTGAACTCACTTCTGGAAGTCTTGTGAGAAGACATGGTGAGGAAGAGTCAAATACACACCACGATAGTGGAGAAAAGGAGAAAATTTCCAGGTGTGGTGGTGCACACCTGTGATCCCAGCAACTCAGGAGGCTGAGGCAGGAGGATTGCAAGTTGGAGTCCAGTCTGGGCAACTGAGCAAGACCCTATCTCAAAATCAAATGAAAAGGGCTGAGATATAGCTTAGTGGTAGAATGCTCGCCTAGCATGTGCAAAGCCCTGGATCTGATTCTCAGTACAGCAAAAAAGAAAAGTAGGGTTTTAATCAAAACAGTGAATGACATGATTAGGTAAATGTTTTAGAAAAAAAAAATTTTTTTTAATACTGGAGATTGAACCCCAGTGTTTAACCAGTAAGCCACATCCCCAGCCCTGTTTTTATTTTGGGGGTGGGGGCTACTGGGGATTGAACTCAGGGGCACTTGACCACTGAGCCACATCTCCAACCCTATTTTGTATTTTATTTAGAGACAAGATCTCACTGAGTTGCTTAGCACCTCACCATTGCTGAGACTGGCTTTGAACTTGCGATCCCCGTCTCAGGCTCCCGAGCCTCTGGGATTATAGGCATGCATTACCATGCCAGGCTCAAATTTTAAGTATTTTTAAACAGACTCCACCCCCCAAAAAAAGAAAAGAAACACATTTGATTTAGCTTTTGAAACTTAGTAACTCATGTCACTGCTGAATGTCACAACGATTGCCTAAAACCAGGCTTTTTAATCTCTGGTAAAACATTGGACCCCAGCAAAACTCCTTTGTTTTCAGCGATTGTCTGATCAGGTTGCAACAAAAAGGGAAAAGTCTTTCTTTGCTACACCTGGGGGAAGAAAGAAATGACTTCTTTGTCCTGAAGGTCCTCAGACTCCTTCCAGAACTATAAGGGAGGTTTGCCAGTACACTACAGAACAGTCTACAAATTTATAACATGTACTGATCACTTTTAACATTCAATTTATTTGCATCAGTGATTCACACATTAAGGTAAATGGTTTTTGTTTTGTTTTGTTTTGAGCTTTTGGGAGGGGGTATTGGAAATTTAACTTGGGGTGCTTTACCACTGAGCCACATCTCCCACCCTTTTTATTTTTTTATTTTGAGATAGGATCTTGCTAAAATGCTAAGGGGCTCACTAAGTGGCTAGACTGATCTCAAACTTGTGATCCCCCTTCCTCAACCTCCCAAGCCATTGGGATTATAGGTGTGTGCCACTACACCCAGCACATAAAGGTAAATGGATACAGTTTACTTATATTAGAAATAGAAAGCCAGGCGTGATGGAGCATGCCTATAATCCCAGTGGATCAGGAGACCGAGGCAGGAGGATTGCAAGTTTGAAGCCAGCCTTAGCAATTTAGCAAGGTCCTAAACAACTTAATGGGACCCTGTCTCAAAATATAAAATTAAAAAGGGCTAGGGATGCAGCTCAGTGGTTAAGTGCCCCAGTGCCCATCCCACCCCACCCCTGCCCCACCAAAGTATATTAAGGAATTTCTCAGGAATAAAGGATATTGCATCTGGAGGGTGGTAAGACTATTTTCTAATGATAATCTGAGAAAGAAACACTGAATTTGTAAACTAGACCTTCACACCCTGCCAAGGTCACAACCTCAACAGCAAACAGGGATAGGGAGAAATGATAGTTATGGAGTAAGAACTGGCACTAAGAATAAAACAGACTTATAACTGGAAGGGTCTCAATTATACCTTTGTGAGTCAAACTAGTCATTCTGGTTTGCTCATGTGCAGTGAATGTACCCTGCTTGGCCTGGCACTCACAGATCTTTAACTTTGATCTTTGCAACTGAATGTTAGCCCAGATTTTCATTTATGGAGGGGAAATGACAGCCATTTGCTCTTCCTCAAGAACATTTATTGGTGTTTGTTGATAGAAAATTCTTGAAAATCAGATGTCACACGGCCTCCTCTTAAACTCTCGCACTCTTAGAAGCAGAA